ATGTCCATCCTCAGTGCTTCTTTGGAATTTCCCCACTCTCTTGACTATTGCAGAACATTTTCTCTTCTTTTAAATGTCATGGAAGCAAGCACTCACTTGACACTTTACTGAGAGGTTTATCTAAACTACATCTTAGGGGCACCTGGGTGGCTCAGTCGGTTAAGCGTCTGCCTTCGGCTCAGGTCATGATCCCAGGGTCCTGGGATCGAGCCCCGCTTCGGGCTCCCTGCTCTGCGGGAAGCGTGCTTCTCCCTCTCCCACTCCCCCTGCTTGCGTTCCCTCTCTGGCTGTGTCTCTCTCTGTCAAATAAATAAAATCTTAAAAAAAAAAAAAAACTACATCTTAAAGTTTTAAATACTGTCTTCACTGTGTAAAGGATACCTAAGTGATAAAGTCTTAGGTAAGTTTCTTGAAGCTTTCTAAGATGGAAAGGAAAAACTTCTTTGTCCTCTTTGAAAATTAAGAAAAGGGACTGCTAAAACTATTTAATAACTAACAACAGTTATGACCAGTGTAACGTAATGAGTAAAAGAGACGCATCCACCATGTGAGAGAATCTTTATTGACTAGTAGTCTGGTCTTGTAGCATTTTTTTTTTAAAGTGCTGCTAACTATCTCAAGTTGTATTGCATTCTCATGATTTTATAAATCAGTAAGTGGTAATAGCTCTGTATTAATCCAAGATCAAGAGGCTAGGTAACCTATTCTTAGTGAATCTGCCTTTTACTGTCTATATATATTACCATAGAGTAAAAGGAAATACTTCATTTATTATATATGTACTATTTTATTAAGTGACCTGCATAATTATGTGTGTGTACATACATCTTGTGGTGTCATTTCCTAGGATCAGAGCATTTAAAATTGGAAGAGCTCTTTAGTTCATCTTCCTAGTTTTTACAGATGAGGAAACTAAAACACAAGTGTAATTTTTCCAATGACCACCTGGTGACAGATTCAAGCTTTCCACCAAGTATTAGGCTCCCTTTCCCTACTACTCATAGCCTTATTGTTTATTTCTCTCAAGACTAACACTAAGAATCACTTCACTCTTTATTTTTCATATTAAGAATAAAGAGCATTATAACAAAATGATACGTATCTTTGTGAATTGGTTTAAACATTTTTGTTTCTTTTAGGCATGATACTGTTTTGAAATTTATTATAAATTTATGGTTCCAAAGGATTATGTTAATTTTTAGGGGATAAATCATGAAAATTCCCGAATCTTAAATATCAGTACCTCCCAAATTTTGTAATTCTGAATTATTGGAAGAATAAAAATCCCCAAACTGTCAAGCTAATACTAGATTTTCAGTGATTTCTAAGATCCAATATGTTTCTAATATTCAAGGCCCAGTATTTATAGAACATTCTTTCTGAGTTTATATGTACCTGATCTTTTACTTATTTTATAGTAGTATTGTCTTTTTTTATTTTTGTGTTCCTGAAAAGCATTCATTTGTGTAGTGAATTAAGAATCTCCTTTCTTGGGATGCCTGGGTGGCTCAGTCAGTTAGGCATCTGCCTTCGGCTTGGGTCATGATCCTAGGGTCCTGGGGATCAAGTCCCACATCTAGCTCCTTGCTTGGCGGAGCCTGCTTCTCCCTCTGTCTGCCACTCCCCCTGTTTGTGCTCTCTCTCTCTCTCTCTCTCTGACAGATCTTTAAAAAAAAAAAAAAAATCTCTTTTCTTCAAACAACTTTGGAAATCCACATACTGGCTGCAGTAATTGATCCTGTGTCTGGATACTGCACTTCCAGCTAGACTGCTCCTTGGTTGATAGAAAATTGAAGATTGTAGATGTGATACTATATTATCTCTTCTCTCACCACCTGAAGATTATAAACAGAAAAGAGCAAAAGTTTTCAAAGTCCAAAAAGAATACACCCACTTTAAATATTAGTTTAGTCTCGTTGACTGTTTCAGTGCCTTCATGGTAAAGGCCAAAAGAATAGTATCTGTGTTAGTTCAGTCAGTGAGTTGCTTATCTGAAACAAATTGTTGTTCCTTAAATAATTCTCACCTGCACTTTGAGAAAAGCATTTTGAGAATTTTCTGATGAAAGACAGTATTTGTACTCTTGCTTTGGATGTTGATACCTACTTGAGCTAAGAGTTAAAAAATTAAGGCTATTCCCTTCTCAGAAAAAAGATTAATAGTCTGCTGCCTGAATGAAAGAAATTATAATAAAACACTGGCGGTTTATATGAGAGAATCATATACATTGGAAATATCACACTTGATTGTTGTGGTTTTTGTGTGTGTGTGTGTTTTGTTTTTGTTTTTTTTAAGAATTTTACCTAGTTGGGGAGGGAAGAAGAATGCAAATCACATTCCTGTTTTGAATGTGTCCTTGTAGCTATAATTATTTATGTTAACTAGCGGTTTTGTTTCTTTATTATAATAATGTCACATTTTATTTTCTGCAACAAAAAATTACAATGATGCCCTATACCTTAAATGTCAGAAAAAAAGTAGTTCTGATGTTGTGTAATAAACAAAAACAAAAAAAATATGATCTTTCCCATAGATTGCTTTTAATCAAATGGGCAAGTGAAACTATATGGATGAGAGCACAGGTTTAAAAAAAAAAAACATGGCCTGGAATAAAGTCTTTCAAAAATGGTTGGCTCGTACTCTGTCTACAAAGGATGTATTATGATGATCAATTTGTATTTGTCTTTATTCTCAAAGTGATGGCTTAGGGAGAAGATGAAGAAAAGTTTATGGATTTCTGTCCTTATTTAGCTTGACTCAGTTCAGTCTTGTCCTCAGATGGACTCACTACTTATTCCTAAGATTAGGTTTTATTGTTTTCACATGCCATTTTCTTGCAGACCAAAAGTATGAACAACATTTGGGATACATAAACCATTTTGTTGTTGATGTTGCTTTGTTATTTTTGATGTCCTTTTTAATTTTTTTAGTTTAAAAGAACACAGATTGTAAGTATATAATTCAGTTATCACAAATAATAAAATTGTTTGATAATTTTTAAGAATAGTATTTTTACTCTTTGGAAATGTGGGGTAAACAATTTAGGCAAGATTTAAACAAAAATAGTAATTTCATATAAAATATACCTAGGATTTAAAATTTTTTTTCAACAGGTATCTCAGAATCATGATTGAAATAATAGTTTTTGATTCATAGTTTTCAAAATGTTATTCATGACTTCTGGTATTAAAATCTTGAATTGTACAATGACGCTGACGGGAAGAAAATAAAATACTAAAGTATGTAAAAAGTAAAAGGTGAGAAAGTCATCCTATCCAATTCCACCACATCTTCCTCTCCTCAGAGCTACCACTTATAATTTAGCATATAACTTCCCACACCTTTTTCAATGCATATACATGAGACACATTTTATAACAATTTATTTGACTTTTTTTTAACGTAAGTAGAATTCTCTTTTACAGTATATACGTTCTGTGACTTGCCTTTCCACTCAGTTTGTCTTGGAAAACTTTGTATGTCATTACATTACAGCTAGACTTCTCTCTCTTTCATTGCTGTAACTTCTCGAATGGTCCTTTGAATGATGGATACTTGTTTCCAGTTTTTCACTATTATAAAAAAATTCTACAGTGAATATCCTTGAACATACATCTTTGTGAACTAGTCAATAATGGAGTTTCTTATTCTTATTGACTAGCAGTTTCTCTGTATTCTAGATGTTAATGTGTCAATCATGTGTGGCAGATATTGTCTCTCTGCACTTGTCTTAGTGTCTTTTGTCATGAATGTATTAAGTAATTATGTAGTCAAGTCTGTTGATCTTTTCATTTGTCATCTCTTTTGTGGATTCTGTATATCTAAATTATTTATACTCCTTTCCACAGAGATATTTTTACTTCCATTTTTACCTGTCACTTGTAAAACTTTTTATAGAACCCTGTGAATGATGGCAAAATGTATTAGAATGTGATACGTTCTGATGGCATGTAGTAATCACATAAGGATCAGTCGCAATTTTGATTATCAATTTCAGAGTTAAAAATAAATATAATAAATTCTGGAAAAGTATTGGGGTTTTGTGTTATTTATGGAATCACTATAGGTAGTCGTCACTATTAATAAATTCATTTTTGACAGGTAATATGCCAGGCACTAAATGACAACAGTAGTACACAAGTGAGAAGTAATCCCTTTTTTTGTGAATCCTTTAGACACGATTATCACCAGAAGTTTATTTATTTCTGTTATCAGAAATATCTGCATGTAGCTGCTGCTGCTAAGAACTGTTCTCCACTAACTTTTGCTGCCATTCAGTGCCACATTACCCAACAAATATACTAGCAAAGCGGGGTCCCAAAGTAAAAAAGAGCAGCCTTGATTAACTTACTCAAAATGTTATTTCATGTATGTGTGCATGTGTAGTGTTGCACACTGTACATGGAGTGAGGAGTCAGAACGCTAAGATTTGCAGTGTTTGGGGCCTCTAATTTGGCTCTGTGGCTATTTATCCCACCTTTCTATCTTGATACCCCACAGCTTGGGCTGATTTTGTCCCACTACCAGTAATTTCCTGTGGAAGTAGCTTATAATATTGTTTCTGCCCTATAATAGGAGGGAATAGCCTCATAGGAAGTACCATGAAGCCAATATCTCATACACCCTGGTATCAGCTCACTTCTGCTCTCTACCTTCTCTCCATACCTGATGAGTACAATTTGAAAAAATAGAATTTTACTGGCACCCTCCTCCCCTTGTTAATAGGGGAGATTCATGGAAGGGAGGAATCCCTTCTTTCTTCTAGATGAAATAACAAGGGAAAAGACAGGTGTTTTTTGAAGGGACTAGAACTTCTGCAGCTCAGCAGACTTGGACAAGTTTGACAAAAATTCAGCTAGATTGATTATTTTTTAACTAGATTTCTGAGTGCATTTGCTAACCTAACCACACATATACCTATTTATAACCTGAAATTTGCCTTTAAAGTCACAAAAGCACAAAGCACTGTAGTGCTTGTAACACTCTTCCATATTATTGTAGGTAACTAAATGACCATGGAATCTGGAGCAGAGAACCAGCAGAGTGGAGATGCAGCTGTAACAGAAGCTGAAAACCAGCAAATGACAGTTCAAGCCCAGCCACAGATTGCCACATTAGCCCAGGTATAAAATACATGGAGAGATTCCAAGTTATGTCTCTTCCAAGAGGAATATGTTTTAGACAAGAGGATTTAGTTTTTATTGCAGAGATATGCATAGAATGAGCAGAGACATTGTTAGAATATCAAAATTCCTATTTACTTAGCGTAATTTTAGAAATGATTCAGTTAACAGAACAGAAAAATGTATTGTTAAAACTATTTGTAGTGACCTGATTCAGAATAATGACATTTTAACTAACGGGTAGAGATTGTTTCTCTTAAACAAGGGAAGAAAACCTGATACGGTAACTGCTTTTTTTTTTTTTTTTTTAATCACACATTTATTTTGAGGCATGGGAATTTAATCTGAGAGGCTAAGTTTTCTATGTGCTTAAACTAAAAAATAGGATAAGCAAATAACTTGACACACAAGTAAATTTCAAGGATAATAGTTTTGTTTCCTATATCTTTTAAATATAATTCATAATTCATTTTGTCTTTGTCTTAAATATTCTATCTCTAGAGTTACATTCACTCATCTTAGTTTTTCTGATGTATTTTTCCTCAAATATTTTATATTTTTATTAGGTATTATTTATTATTATTTTATTAACCATTATTTGTATATACATATGAGTAAGAAAGGTAGTTAATCTAAAAACCAAATAACAGGGCGCCTGGGTGGCTCAGTTGGTTAAGCGACTGCCTTCGGCTCAGGTCGTGATCCTGGAGTCCCGGGATCGAGTCCCACATCGGGCTCCCTGCTCAGCGGGGAGTCTGCTTCTCCCTCTGACCCTCTTCCCTCTCGTGCTCTCTCTCATTCTCTCTCTCTCAAATAAATAAATAAAAATCTTTAAAAAAAAAAAAATCTAAAAACCAAATAACAGACATAAACCTGCTAGGTAAAAGAGTGTGATATTGTCTCTTTCTGATAAAGGCTCCCAGGAGAAAATAATCCTAGCAGAGGCTCTACCATGTTGAGGTTCGGCTTCTTGAAGAATTTAAAAGCCCTCCTTGGGAAGTCCCTGAGCAAGAATGGGTCTTGGAGAATAGGGAGCTAACCACAGATGGTTACTACACTGAACTAAAGTATGGCCCAAATACTGGATCTTCAGCAGGAATATAGTCAGAAGGAGTGGACTGGCTGCTCTGTGTTTTCTCCTAAGAGTACTAGGGCCTGCCTCCAACCCTCAGGAGTAAGGCAAAGCAGAATATATCTGGGGATGAAGTAAATACTTGGATAAGGCAGGTGCAGGAATGAAGGGGAAAGAGCCAGGACTTCATCAGTATATGATCAAGGCAGACATGCACAGATCAGAATCTGGGCTCACCCAAGCATTTGACCCTCTGGTAAAAAGAAGATACAATGCCAGAAGGGATCTTGGTGATGACAGCCACTATTCTGGCACTATTCTGTCTGATCTGCTTGTCCTCAAAGTCTGCTGTATAATCCATTCCTGAAAATTCCTTTCCCCCTACTGTCTGTTACTGAGTTTGTGTTCTTGATAATAGTAAAGCATGTTTTCCAGTGGTTTCTTAAGCAAGTTTGGGTAAAAAATTCTTGGTAAAGAAATAACTTTTCTTGGGGCACCTGGGTGGCTCAGTCGGTTAAGCATCCAACTCTTGGTTTCGGCTCAGGTCATGATCTCCCAGTCGTGGGATGGAGCCCCACGTCGGGCTGTGCGCATAGTGCTGAGTCTGCTTCAGATTCTTTCTCCCTCTCCCTCCGCCCCTCCCCACTTGCATGCGTTCTCTCTCTCTCAAATAAATAAAATCTTTAAAAAAACAATTTTTTCTTAAAAATTTTGAAGGCGTTGATCCACAGTCACCATGTAGTGTTGCTATTGGAAAAGACTAAATCCATTTATTTTCTCTCTCTGGTATCTTATTTCTCTCTGTTCACAGTGCTTCACTATTTCATTATTAGGGTCTTGGTTTGAATAGTTTTTATCCATTGTGCTATATATATTCAGTGTGCCCTTTTATAGTGGAAACTCAGGTCTTCGATTCTGGGCAATTTCTTTAAATTATTTGGTTGAAGATTTTCTTCTGGTTCTCTTTTTTTCCTAGGATCCTTGTGATCTAGATGTTATACCTCTAGAATTGTTTCTCTAATTTTCTCATCTTTTCTCTACTGCTTTCTCTTTTGTCTTTTTGGTCTGCTTTCTGGGAGATTTCTTCAGTTTCATGTTCCAGCCCATTTGTTGAATGTTTTCTGCTATCATGTTTCCAAGAGTTCCTTTTGTTCTCTCAATAGTCCTTTTGTGTTTTAATAGCATCCTGTTTATGTTTCACAGAGGCAATATTTTCTGTCATCTCTGAGAATATTAATTAGGTTTTAAGTTTTCTTCTCCCCACATAGATTTTCCTCTGTATAAGCTTTTTGCCCTTCAATTTGTTTTGGTCTCCCATCTTTCAAATTAGAAGCTTTCCTCAGATGTTTTATAATCTGTGCTTGTCTGCTCAAGTTTAAAGTAGGGGACCAAAAAACTGTATCAGAAGCTCTGGATGTGTTTGGGGCCTAATAACTATGGGTTGTGAACTCCACTGTAGGGTGATTATGGCCTTCCCAATGTCAGTATCTTTTAAGTCTTTATTTAGCCCCTTGTCATTGATTAGGTTCCTCAGGGAAGGCTTTACTGATTTCCTTGCTTATAGGGTAAAGGCCTGGGAGCTAAGAGAGAGAAGACTGGAGGTTAATAACCCCACCTTCAGCAGTGTCTGTTGTAGGCAGTCCGGAGACCCACTCTCCAGAAATTAATTCTCCATTTCTCTGTCAGCGTGGGGTAGATTATTCCTCCACAGGGAGTGTGGGGAGGGGATCCAGTTGCTTCTCAAAGAGCCTTCAACCAGCCTTCCTTATTTTCAGCCTTTCCCTTTACTCCACCTTCCAGGGTCTTAGATCCTGAGCCTCTTAAGGATTTTGTGGTTCAAATCAGGCTTTGCCTACCTCTACCTCATGAATTGGCCTTCTGAGGTCTTCCAAGTTCATTACCATTCATCCTTCTTCTTTCCAGCCTCCAAAATTCTTACTATTACCTCCTTTCCCATTCTTTGCTCATGTGATTGTGCCTGTAAAAACAAAATCAATTTTACGAAGTTTAATCGAAGATTCAGGAAGGAACAAAATAATATACACATGTTTAATTTGTCATCTTTATCAGGCAGTCCTCTAGCATTTACCTTTAAAAGCAGAATGACATGATGTTTGAGTTTTAGAAAAGCTAGTTTTCTGTTCCCATTTTTGTAGTTTTGGTTCTTTTTATGCCTAATTACAGAGTTATTCTCACTTGCTTTTTCAAGTCCTTAACACATACATCATGGATTTTTGTCATAATTTCCTTTCATAATTCTGATACCTGGTATTTTTTTGTTGTCAGTATTTAATAAAAGAAAAATATAATAAAATTGTCAAATCCAAGATTGTAGCGATTTGAATAATGAACAGAAAAAAATTCAGCCCAACTAGTAAAGGAAGAAAACCAGTCTAAAACAATAATGAGATGGCTCATTTTACTTTTGGAATTTACAGTTTTTGTGTGTGTGTGTGTGTGTGTGTGTGTGATTTTTAAGTGCCGGGCTTGAACTCTCAACCCTGAGATCAAGACCTGAGCTGAGATCAAGAGTCAGATGCTTAACTGACTGAGCCGCATAGGCACCCCTACAGAGATTTTTTTTTTGAGTGGGAAGGAAAAAAACCAATATTGGTTTTGACTATGAGAATGTAAATTTTTATGGATTTAACTAAAGAGTTAGGTAAAAGGATGATCATTGCATCTTCCTTGCAGTAGGCAAATTTGAAAACCTAAATATCCAATAATAAGGAATTTATTACACAAAGTGTAATTTTTATTGCACAGCCTTTAAAACCACTAAAGAAAATTATTAATGGTATGGAAAGATACTTACAATGGATTAAAAAGATAAATTAGATTCCATGGTAGTGTGTTATAAAAATTGAGCGCATACATGGACCTTTAAAATCACCTAGATCTGGGGCACCTGGGTGGCTCAGTCGTTAGGCGGCTGCCTTCAGCTCAGGTCATGACCCCAGGGTCCTGGAATCGAGCCCCGCATCGGGCTCCCTGCTCCGCGGGAAGCCTGCTTCTCCCTCTCCCACTCCCCGCTCCGCGGGAAGCCTGCTTCTCCCTCTCCCACTCCCCGTGCTTGTGTTCCCTCTCTCGTGTCTCTGTCAAATAAATAAAATCTTAAAAAAAAAAAATCACCTAGATCTACAGCAAAAATATTAACCGCGATTAGCTCTGAGTGGTAGGAACATAAGGGATTTTTATCTTATTTTGTGTATCTGTATTGTTTATAAAGTTATAATGAGAGGAGCCGTTCTGTAGAATGATCAGGGTACGGAAGGGATTAACTAACTCATTGAGTTAGCTTGTTACATTTATTCTATAAAATAGAGAAGAGGATGTAATAATTGCTTCACGTATCAGAAGAGTTTTTGTATGGAACTAAGAGGAGATACTCTGAATAACTTAAGGTTGTGGTTCTCAAACTTCAGTGTAGGAGAAGTGTCCTTAGGTCCACCAAGAGAGTCTAACTTTATAAACAGGCACCCTGTGTAACTCTACTGGAGTTAGTCCATGGATCACATTTTGAGAACCAGGTAAAACCAAGCAAGATTTATAGTGGCCAGAGAGAAAATGATTAATAAGAAGGGACTTCCTAACTGCCCAAAGATAGGATGCTCATAGTTTTAACCTCTATTTTCAGTAGGGATCTTCCCCGCCCAAGCATCACAGGCAGATGTCTAACTGCCTGCTGAACAAACTCAGATATCAGATCAATTCCACCATCCTCCATCACCCCAACCACCCAAAAACTTCTCTTTTACTAATTCTTACCCAAACATGAAATAGGTGGGTTATCCCGAATTCCTCTCTCACCTCCTTCAAGCTAGTCATTCATAAAGCTCTTTCTAGTCTGCCTCCTGAATTTTCCTTAAATCACTCCTCTCGTTCTCCTCCCTACCACAACCAGTACTTTGTTTCTGGCTTTATCATCTCACCTTAACTACTATATAAGTTTTCTCAGTCTCCTCCCCTCCACGTTGTTCTTTCTCTGAAATAAATGTTTTTCATACTGCCACTGAAGTGATCTATCTAAAATGCAAACCTCACCATGTTAATATTCCAGAGCTCAAAAGCCCTTCAATGCCTTTCCCAGTCTGCTCAGGATAAAGTGCAACTTCTTTAATGTGACATAGGTATGGTTTTTCATGAGTAGCTCATTTAACCTCTGCCTACTTATGTTACACAATTTTATCTCGTCCCTGTTCCTACATTCTTACAGTAACATGCTTACATGGTCCAGTAGTACTGACTGTTAATTTATCCCTCCTTTCCTAAAATGCTGTGCCTCTCCCCTGGGAGTCAAAATATGCCTAATTTGGTAGCACCTGGGTGGCTCAGTCATTAACCGTCTGCCTTTGGCTCAGGTCATGATCCCAGGGTCCTGGGATCGAGCCCCACGTCAGGCTCCCTGCTCAGCAGGAAGCCTGCTTCTCCCTCTCCCACTCCCCCTGCTTGTGTTCCTGCTCTTGCTATCTCTCTCTGTGAAATAAATAAATAAAATCTTTAAAAAAAAAAAAAATGCCTAATTTGTAATCTTTGTTTCAAATTCGCATTCTTCCCTCCCGTCCTTTTTAGGTGAGGTTGGGTAGCTTTCCTAAGTGTATATTTTTCTCTTGGCAAGCCTCATTACTTCACTGGATTACATTTATTTGTATTCTCTTCCCCATGCCTTCCCACATGTACCCCAATAATTTCCTTAATGTTTGTAGTTTCAGTTCTGACATTGCTCCTAGCACGTGGGTCCCCAATCATTGTTTACCGAATGAGCAGAAAATATTGAACCCCTGAATGTGTTCAAGCATAGGAACAATAAATACCATCTGATAGACATATATGACATAAGAGCCCTTTGGACCTGGATATTGATTCATTAAAATTGCCTTCTTTGTGCCCAGTTAAAAATTAGTATCTCTTATACTCCCTTAACTCTGTTCTTTTATTCCTTTAAGAGGAAAATAAATCCTTAAAATATCAACTGTTATATCAGTTTGATGGGGGGGTAGAAATTTTCAGTTTATAATACATATTAATACTTTCTCACTAATAAAAGGCATACTTGTAATTAGTTTAAAAGAGAAAACTATGCTGTATATTTTAAGATGTGTATTTGTTCTAGACTTAGCTAAGTTTTGCCTAAGTTTGAGAGCAGTTATATTTTAGAATATTGCTTATTTAACACATAATATTCTGAAGACCTTTATATTTCTTCAAAGCTAGCATATCTCTTGACCTTGGGTAAGTTACTTAATCTCTTGAGTGCTTGATATTTCTGTCTCTAAAATGGAGATGATCCTTATTATCCAGTCTTGATTTCTTCGAAGAGCAAAATGAGAAACTGGACATGAAAGCAGGTAGGAAAATGTAAAGCATCATACAGTTAAAGTGTATTTAGTATTCAGAGGAAGTCTGTGTTACAAATTTTGATATTACATTAAAATAGTTCTTTGTTGTGTGGAAGGATTTGAAAGGGAGGGGACATTTATAGTCAATTTTTTTTTTTTTAAGAATATTAAATGTAATCATTAGTTTCTTTCACACCAATGAAATACTTGTCTGGCAGAAAAGTCATCTTTTTCCTGCTAAAAAGTTGCGTCATATTGAACATGACTACTCTCAAGGAGGTATCTGTGATGGTAATTTTTTTCCATGTTCAACACCTTAGGTATCTATGCCAGCAGCTCATGCAACATCATCTGCTCCCACCGTAACTTTAGTACAGCTGCCCAATGGGCAGACAGTTCAAGTCCATGGCGTTATTCAGGCGGCCCAGCCATCAGTTATTCAGTCTCCACAAGTCCAGACAGTTCAGGTATGTGTATAAAAAGTTCTGCATCTACTTTCATAACTGTCGTTTATAGCCATATCTCTCTCCTTTCATTAGCTATGGAAATAGGAACATATCTAGTTCAGAGTTTATTTTACTTTACAGTAAAGGAATATGCTGCGTCTGTATAGTCACCTTATGTGTAGGAACATATATACATAAGAACAGACATAAGAAAAAGAATTGTGGAAAATCATTAAGTACATGGGATAAGGTGGAAATGTTTGAGAAAGACTAAGGCTGATACACCTTAGTTCAGGAAAATTGAGATACAAAAATAACTAATTATTTTCTAAACATGGAATTGGAAAAAATAAGCCCTTGTCAAAATTAATAACCTTACCCAAGATATTAACTTGAATTTAGAGATCATAGAAAGCATTGTAAAACCAGCTATGTCTAGGAGTGTAAGAGTAGATAACTTTGAAATAATGATATGGGATTACACTGCGCATGTCATCTAATTCTTTGGAGAGATTGTTCCTTTGGATTGAATCCAGAGGGAATAAAGGCACGTAGAGCTCTGAATAAAGGTGACTACTCTGTTGAACTGTAGGGAACCTAGAGCAGTAGACATCTTTACAGTGAGCTTATTGAAAGAAAAAAAAGACTTGAATGTTCATTCAAGTAGGCCATAACCCCAGCCTCCCATTTCATATTTTTTGCTTCACAGTCTTCCTGTAAGGACTTAAAAAGGCTTTTCTCCGGAACTCAGGTGAGTCCTAGGTCCTAGATTTGGAAAGAACTATTTTTAGAAAGGAAGGTGAGAAATTATTCTTTATGTCATTATCCTTCTATAAACATGCAATTTAAGGTTTGCGTAAAGATCTTAGAGATCTTCTAGGTCTAGGCCAAACTTATTACCTGCCCAGCCCTTAGTGTATTGCTTACTTTCCCTGTGTATCTTTTCTCCTCTCCTCCAAATGGTGGTCCAGCATTATTTGAACACTTTAGCGAAAGGAAGCTCTGTCTCCTGAGGTAACCAATTTATAAAGAGGGGTAATTGCTGAACTGTTCTTCCCTGTGGTGAGCCAGAATATACCTTTCTAAAACTTCTACCTAGTGGTCCCAGTTCCATCCTCAGAAACTAATTAAGCAAATTTAATTCCTTTTCTGTCGGACCACTTCCTCTCCCTTGTCTCCTACACCCTTCCTACTTAAAAAAAAAAAAAAAAGTCCAGACTAAACAAATGTCTATATTTTTCTTCAGCCATTTATTATACGGTGTAGCTCTGATTGCTCTTTACTATCCTTGCTATCATCCTGTGGATGAGAGCTATTGTGTTTTCCTTGAGTATGGTAGTCAGACTGGTATTTGTAGAGGGGAGAAGGGCTTCCTTTGCCCTGGAAGCATTCTATTAATGTCCTCAAAGGGCATATTTGATTTAGTCAGCCATGTTACACTATTGAGTCCTTGAGCCACTGTTACCACCTCTACTCATTCTGTCCTTCTGCTTTTGGTTTGCTTGGACACTTATGTGGAAGAAAAAGAAAAGAATGTTTTCATGTAAAAATACTAATGTGTGTGAATTTCCATACTGAAAGATACTGGGAGTGGAATTTGTTACCAAGATGGAGACAGTGTTTTCCTGGTGAAAACTGAACTATTTGACATTTCTGTGGTATCACACTGACTGACCAGTAGTCTCCTATCCTTTGACTCGGTTTTTATTTCATTGAGTGCTACCTAACTGTTTTCCATACTATGCCATTACTAATTCCCCACTCACTTTCTTCTTGGTAATAGTGGAAAGAACCTGCCCTGCTAGTCGGGAGACCTAGATTCCAGATCTTACATTAATCCTTACTTTCTCTTTTTCACTTAGAGTAGGAGGTCTTTCTATAAAGAACTATATAAAGAACACACCAAAATTATCAAAACTTGTTAAGATTATAGTTTTTGGTCATAATATGTGATATTTAATTGCCGATTATATTTTTAATTTTAATCTCTACTTTGTGACAATAATAATTTGGACCTAGGGGTTGTATGGCTATTAGCTTTCTAGAAATATTTATTCATCTTTTCAAGAGCACATTTTTCACCGAGGTTGTGAGCTGTATTTATAACTAACTGAAAGCCTGAATTCTCCAAATAGACACAATTTTTTTTTTTTACTTTATTTTTTACTGTAAAGGGCCTAAACCATGAAGAATATATTAAACTTCAAGGGTCATTTCATCTAGTTAACAGGGATTAGTATATTAGTAACTAGGAAGTAGTTTACATCAGAAGAGATGTTTAAACAAGGAGAGAAATGGTCCTGCAAACTTCTAGATGGGAAAATATGAGTATTCTAGAACATCATTTTCAAAAGATACAAGACATATTTCTCTTGATGTGAGAATAAGATATTAGGACCTGTGTTTCTGTTTTTTAATCTAAGAATATTAGAAATTATGCTGTACTAATATTTCATATATGGCTTGACATTAGTGCCCTAACTTTATCCTTATGTATATCAAGTCCCATAGATTATATGAGAATCCCCTCAAAACTAGTGGGAGTTACACGAATGTATAGAAGTTAACAGTGGCATCTTCACTTTTCATTTGTTAGCTTTAAGTGCATTTTTAATACAGTGCAGTTTAAACGTGTCAGGATTTATGGATTATGTTACCTTAAATTATTTAACATTCATTCCTTCAACGAATTTTTATTGATCACATGCTATGTGCCAGTCACTGTTCTAGGTGCTATGAAAGACAGCAGTGAACAAATAATACTTCTCTATTCTCATGAAGATCACATTTGAGCGAAGAGAGACAATGAAAAAATAAAATATGTCAGGTGAGGATAAGTGCTGGGAAAGATGATGAAAGCAGGGGAAAGGGATAGAGAATGTGGAGGGAAGGGTGTTCTGTTTTATGTAGGGTGGTCAGGGAACGCAGTGAGCAGAAACCAGAAGACAGTGCAGGAGGCTAAGCCATGCAAATAGTTAAAGCAAGTCCTGCTTCATATATCGAGGTATAGTAAAAAGATGTGGCTCAAATAGAGTGAGCAGGAGGGAGAGAGCAATTTGGATGAAACGTTTGATAGAATCTTTACAATACTTTGTAATCTGATGGGAACAATAATAAAAACCTTTTGTGCAAAGTAGGGATTCAGTGGTTATTATGCAGCAAAGTATTTAAGAGTTGTCTAACGTAAAGCTGAGTTACTTGTTTGTGTTTTACGTGAAACAAGTGTTCCAAAGTTTCTGGTCTTTTTAATGATGGTAAGCAAGGATTTGCAAGGGATATATTATCTAACAGATATTTTTAAAAAAAGAAATCCCTTTCAACTATCCTGGGAGAAAGTGACATTTTAACAATGCAAGAGAGTAACTGCTTTTTGAAAAAAAGTTGTGCTGTGGAGAGAGCATTTTGAAAGAAATTCAGAAATGTTTTCATACTTTGTTTTTTAACTGCAAACAATATAAATTTGTCAGCTCAAAATCAAATATATATACTTTTAAAACCCTGGAAATAGAATTCTTTAAACTATTCATAAGTCTTCTAGAGTTTCAGTAGGTTTTGAACCTACTTGTTAAAATATAAAACTGTAACATCTATTATTATTAGCATACAATAACTGAGAGCCGGGGAGATGAAAATCTCATCAAAAGTTTGTATAATTGGTAGATGAAAATGAAAAGTGATTTTGTATTTTGTAAGCCCAGTCAAAAATGCACTTACTTTTATATCTACTGCCCATGAGTTCCCTTTTTCAACAATAGCAAATACTAAATCAGATTTTCAAAAGCCTAAGCTTAGAATCAGATTTTTGAGTCACTGTTATAAAATATTAAATGATTTTTTAATGAAGCATATTAAATCACATCATTCCCACTCTGTAAAAAATGAAATGATTTATGTTTAAGAAATTTACAAATATAATTTAATATTTACACTTATATTATCTCTTTAAATAATAAAAACAACACTTAAAGTTTACAGAGGAAATAAATATGCTTATGTAAAATTTTCCTGTTTATAAGGAAATCTGCAGGTGAAAAGAATTTGGAAATCATTATTCTAGACGTTTATTAATGTCTTGATCCACAGAGTAAATAACTGTACCTAAACCATATGTCTGAACTCTGCACAGTTACTTAAGTTTCATAGAGACCGTGTATGATTTGAGAAAGCATCTAATTTGGTTTTAGTCATTGTGTATTTAATTTTGAAATTTCAAATAACTTCAAAATGGGAAGATTGTCCTCCTTACAAACAGGAGGTATGGGTTTTTAAGAAACTAAAAGTTGAGAAATACAGATCTAAAACTTTACATCTGAAAGTAGTGGTTTGGCTTTTGAAAATGTCTCAACTACTACGTGGCCAAGGTTAAAGACCTATTATTTAAGGAGCTGAGGAGAGGGTTAATGAGAGAGGTGACAGGAGATAAGGACCAGAGGAAGGGTCTCTACCACTGGAATGTGGTGGTAGTCTGTGATACCTGTGATTGGGATACCATTTTTATATGGTTATTTTTAGTAACTGTTAAGTATATGTTAAACTGTAATTAATAGTTGTTATTTATAAAAAGGATTTTTGACATGATTTTTATTAGTCTCATCTCAGAAATGTGGATCCAGTGTGTGCTTTGGATTTTGTTTTTGTTTGTTTTGTTAGGCAGTCCATAGGAAGTGGCTTCATAGCTCGTAAGTTCTCCCTGGATAATATTCCCAAAGAGGAAATGTTAACATTCGTTATGTGTTACTGAATAATTCTGAATTCCCTTTATATTGAAATAGTTGTAATCACTACATAGTGACAAGTTAATTCCTTCTGTCTGAAATCACAAAATCTTTTAGATCAGAGGAAAGGAGGCTTTTTTTTCCTACTAAGAGCAATAGATCTACTGAGTTTGGAAAAAGAAAAAAAATCAAAGGCCATATATTAATTAGAAAGCAACTTTCTTTCATTTCAAAACTGCCCTGTGAGTAGTTTATATAGAATGTTTTTAAATTATTATTTTAATGACTTTCAACTTGGGAGAGTATGCCTAAGTCACTATCTGCCCTTAAAAAAAGGTTGTAAGGATGAGGGTCATACAAAGAAGTCAAAGAACAGCAGAGGAACTGAGGTTCTGAGAAGTACTATGAGGGTAAACCCTTGTCACAGTACTGTCCACTTTGAGTTCAGTCTTGTTATTCCTTGAAATTCTGACTCTCTGCTAAGGTCTTTTCATAGCTCCTCATCTGCTGTACATCAGAGTTTCTGTGCAGAGACTACGCTGAGCGGGCCAGTTACAGCAGCTATAGATTAGTGGGAATTGTTCTCTGTGCTCCTTTGGCAGTAACTGTAGCATTATGACTCTGCACAGAATCACAGACTAAATTCAGCCTTGCACATCTTTTCATCTGTCTTTTCTGGATTCATTAAGTGTTGCCTGTTAATGTATAGGTCTCTAAGAGTATTGTTCTTATACTTTAAACTGTTTGGGTGAGGCACATTATTTTATTGTGGGTATATTTTGTGAAGCATGACTGGATTTACCTAATTTCATTTTAGAGTGAGAGCCTATTACAAAGTGCCCTGTCAAAATGAGTCCCTACTCTCCAGAACCCATAGGCTCAGACTACATACAGAGTCCCTGTGGGATTCTTCAAGTTCCTCTGAATGCTTTTTCTTGTTGCCATTGCCCTAAATTTTGACATGGAGCTGAACCACACATACTCTTTTGCCTTCATTAAATCTAATTCTCACTCTGACAGCATCATGCACATCTAGTGCAGGAAAGAGCAGAAGGCTCCTGCTGATTAGACTAGAGAAGCTTGGTGGTATAAATTTGACAGGCAGGCTTGCCCGAGTGAGTGAACTTCTAGTCTAAAAATGGTCTAAAAACACCTCTGGGTTGCTGCTTCTGACAAAACTGGTTTGAGATTGGAACCAACAGGATTTTGATGCTGGTAAGGATGTCTAAAACTAAGATGCCAACTATTGACAGTGGCTCCACTACTTCCTAGCTTTGTGACTTGGGTGAGTTACTTAACCTCTTTGTGCCTCAGTTTTTCCATCGATATAATAACTGTACTTGTCTATTACCTGATATTACTGTATTCGTATTAAGTAATGTAATACGTGTAAATGCTTTAGCATAATACCTGGCACATAGTAAGTTCTCAATAAATGCTAGTTGCTAATATTACTATTATTATCCCATGTAAAATCTTTGTTCAGCTTATCTTTATTACATTTCAGTCCAGGGATACTTTTCCAGAAATGCACAGTTCTTTACCTTGAGCTTTTGCTTAATAAAAATTGTAGAATGCCAACTTTGAAAGTCTATGGGTAGACTAACTTGCTAGAAACAGCCATCTGGAACATGGTGGGGGATCACCAATCTTATTTATCAGTTGTAAATATATTCATAAGTGTTTAACAATAAAAGAAAATATTTATATAGTCACTATATAGAGTTATGACCAAATATTTGCTCATTTATTCTTCCTTCATGTCAGAAACCTTATTTACTTCGTAGTTTTGTTAACAGTTGTAAAAAAACAACTGACAGTAATATTGATGCATTCAAGATTGGTTACATGAAGTCCTGAAAGAGGTAAAACTGAATTTGGATATCACTAAAGTTTGGTTTTGACAAAAAAAAAAAATTAGGCCCTCTGACTTCTATAGGATAAGTAAAAGGGAAAGGAATATGATTGGTGTGGTTGTCTCCCATAAAAATTGACTTTTTTTTACTGAAGCATGTATAAGGTATATATATGTCCTTTTATATTTCATTTTTTCTTAAAATTCATAAAAATTTTATGGAAATTAAACTCGATTATCAAGATAAAGTTCTTCTTTATTTTCAGATTTCAACTATTGCAGAAAGTGAAGATTCACAGGAGTCAGTGGATAGTGTAACTGATTCCCAAAAACGAAGAGAAATTCTTTCAAGGAGGCCTTCCTACAGGTATGGAATTTAATAGTTAAAAGAATTTAGAATCGAAGATGTCAGGAAGCCTTAGGTAGTTGCAAGTGAAAAGATGTCAGAAGACCAATTAGGTGCTCAATTCGGGACCACAGAAATTACTTCTCTTCATCTCGAGGTACTTCTCTCTCTTAAGTTGAAGTGTATTGTACAGAAAAAGAGAACTCTTTTACTCTGAACAGTCCTGGATCAACAGTGATTTTTTTTTTTTTCCTGCTTCTGTTTTTGTAGACTGGGCCAGCTGCTGGTTTTCTGTTAAAAAGTTTGGAATATATTTCATTAAGTTATAGCATTTCTAGTTATTTGTCAGTTCTGACACTACACTGTTTACCTACTTAACAGCACATTTGCAAACCATTTCTAATGCCATGGTACTTAGTAGATAACTATTTATTAATTTAATATTTGTTTCAGGGTGATGCTGATATCCCCTAATTTTGGGGACACCTTACTGTAGTTTTTATGTTCAGCTGTAGAGATTGCCTAGTCCATGACTTGCCTCCAAGATGTACCAAAACCATTTTTTTATATATAGAAATTGGCTCCCATGCTAAATATCTCCAGGAAGAGCAATTCCATAAATATTCATAAGCTTCAAAGTTCCATAAATTTCAAACTTCAAATATTTTTTCATGTTATTAGCCTAAGTTGTTTTTATTTTTCAAAGGAATGGTTAAAATTTTTTTTCCACTTGGCTACTAAGCTAGCCCTTTTCTCTTTTCTCACAATTAAATGAAGGATCCTAAATGAATATCAATAAACTGATTTTGAGGTCTTAAGAAATTTTGTTACCAAGTATGTGTTGTATGCATTTATGTTCATAATCTCTCTTTTTTTTTTTTAATATAGCTAGTTTTAGATTTGAACTTTGAAATATATCTCATGTTTTTAACACTTTCGATCCTGGAGCAAATCCATCCAGGTGTTAACAAGCCACAAGGCTTCTCTGTATATAAATTCCAGGCAAATAGTTGTAAATAAATTCTGTAAATTCTAGTTGTAGACCTTATAAAATAAGAGCTTTAGGGCGCCTGGGTGTCTCAGTTGGTAAAGTGTCCGACTCTTGATTTCATCTCAGGTCATGATCTTGGGTTCGAGAAATCAAGCCCCGCGTCAGGCTCCATGCTCAGTGTGGAGTCGGCTTGAGATTCTCTCTCTCCCTTTCCCTCTTTCCCTTCACTCATGCTCTTTTTCTCTCTAAATAGTCTTAAAACATAAAGTAAAATAAGAGCTTTATGCTGAAAAAGATCTTTATTACAACCTGTATCCTAGCAAAGATCATTTAAATAGTAACACCTTAATTCATAATCAGATAGAAGATGCCTAAGACTACACATACGTGAGAGTTACATTTATGAAAGATAATATATCTTCCCTTAAAATCATTATGTATCATTATTTTGTTTTAGGCTTATAAATTCTTGAAACCTAGCTCTTACGTCTTGACTATAACAAGATCTTTAACAGAATCCTATGATATGCTTGTAAGGTTGGAGAAATGGGGATTAATTGATACACCCAGCTTTATGGTGATTAAACTGTACCCAGAGAAAGTTCTTGAAGGACTTTCACTTGGTCTCCCCTGGCTTGGTATTTTTACCAGCAGTTCAGCTAAAAAACATAGAAGCCATGCTTATCAGATTTGCAAGTGACAGAACTTTAAAGGTGAAGTGCCCTAATGGATGCGAGAATAAGTACTTTGAAAGATCATTGCAACCAAGGGAAACACTTAGTTGTTGGTGATAATTTTAAAATTTCTGAACTTGAGTTTAAAATAAAACCAGTTCTTTAAGTACAAGATTCTGGATTAAGAATTTGTGTTTTTTTTTTTTTAAGAATTCATTTTTAAAAGATAGTTATGTTCCTTAATTACCATTAAGATATATATATATATATATAGTTGCCAAAAAAGCCAGTATACCAAAGGCTACATTGGTAAAAACCTAGTGTCTAGATTAAGGGAGAGAATTAATCCCACTGCTCAGACCACATCTGGAATATTTTCTGTAAGAGAAAGTGAAATGTATCTCCAAGATACAAGAATGACCAACATGGTCTGGAGCAACAATATTAGATACTAGAAAGAGAAGACAAGGAATGATCATTGGCTTCATGCAAAAGAGAAGATTTATTTGCAGGTCTAGAGTAGTAGCTTTTAAACTTTTATTTTTTACCGCAATCCACAATAAGAAACATCTTTACATTTTTCTCTGTATATAGATACAGTTATCTATATTCATTTATATATACCTATATATATATAGGTATATATACAGGTACACACATATATCTACCTATATATAGGCGTCTGAAGCAAAGTATACAGCAGTACTCACCCTTATCATTGTGTGATGTTTAGCTGTTTTTTATTTGTTTTATATTGGTTGCAACATACATAACGCTTTTATGGCAAACATATGGGTTGTGACCTAAGTTTGAAAAACGTTGTGCTGAGGACCAGTACTATTCAAAATGTGGTCCAGAGACCACACTGGCAAATCAGAATCTGGTTAGAAGTGCAAGTTCTCAGGCCCCTACCCCATACCTAATGAATTAGAATCTGTGGGGTGGGGAGCCAGGAATCTCTTTTAACATGCTCTTCAAGTGCTTTTCAATGCTAAAGTTTGAAATGATGCTCTAGAGCAGTGATGCCCAGAGTTGATCTTTTTTTTTTTTTTTATAAATGTGTCTCCCAAATCTTCTCGCCTTCCTTTTTTTCTCTTTTTTTTTTTTTTTAAGATTTTATTTATTTATTTGAGAGAGAGAATGAGAGAGAGAGAGAGAGCATGAGAGGGGGCTGGATCAGAGGGAGAAGCAGACTCCCCACTGAGCAGGGAGTCCGACGCGGGACTCGATCCCCGGGACTCCACGATCATGACCTGAGCCGAAGGCAGTCGCTTAACCAACTGAGCCACCGATTTATTTATTTATTTACTTGAGAAGGAGAGAGTGCACGCACGGGGGAAGGGGCAGAGAAAGAGACTCTTCAAGCAGACTCCCCACTGAGTGCAGGGCCCCATGCAGGCCTCCGTCCCACGACCCATGAGATCTAACCCAGGAGATCATGACCTGAGCCAAAACCAAGAGTCAGACACAGAACCGACTGAGCCACTCAGGCGCCCCCCAGAGTTGATCTTTTGACCATTTGTCAGTCTATAAGCTGTTTGAAATAGTTGTATTTCTCATTCGAAAAGAGATAAGGGAGAGAAAATCATCCTTATGGTAAGAATAGGAGTTATTAAACTATTGAAATTAAAACAAGCAGATGTGGAAAAGAAATGAGTAATAAGTCTGAGAAATGAGATATACAATTAGTGGAATTAAGAAAAACAGCAACCAGTAAGTGGGATAAACTAGATATGAGTAGCTGATGAGAGAATTGGTAAACTGGAAGGGAACTAAGAAAGTAACTCAGAATAGAGAACAGAAATACGGAGAAAATGGGAAAGACAGGTGAAAAGTCATGGGGAATAGAGTGAGGTGCTCCAGTAGAAGAAGCACTTACAGAATTTCCAGAGAGGAAATTGGGCCAAAAGAAATATTGAAAGAGGTAATAGTAGAATATTTTCTACAATTCCAGTAAAGGTAATTACGTGGGTAAATATAAAAGCAGTATTATAATACTTTGCTTTGAAACTCTTCTTTTTTTCCTATGTGATTAGAAAGACAAATGCATAAAACAATAATTATGAATTGGTTAATGAGCACACAGTGTATGAAAATGTAATTGTGACTATAGCAACATAAAGGGGCAGGGTTTGGGTAGACTATTGAAGCTAATTTATTAATTCATACTGGTTTGTTAGAAGTTTAAGATGTCAGAAATTACTTGGGTTGGGTTTTTTCCCCCCTCTTCTGTGATTATGTTACTCATTGGAAGTATGGTCAGGTTCACTTTTTTTATTTGTATTCCATTTTAAGAATTTTTCCCCCATCTGTGTTGATACCATTTTTTAATATGTGAAACATGAACATGGTTCTTTAAAAAGTCAGAATTGTACCAAAAAATACACACACTCACAAGTGCCCCCCCAATTTTTCTTTTTTTTACTTCTTACTTACCAATCCCAGTAGATTAAGTAATCTCATTAAACTCCATCTAGTATATCCTTTCTGAGTTTCTTCTTCAATAGAAGAGCAAATACATATATATTATTTCACTTTCTTTCTTATAAAAAAGGTACCATGCTATACCCATTTTCCGGATGAACTATACTTTATTCAGCCATTCTCCTATGTAGAGGCATATAGATTGTGTCTAGTATTTTGCAGTTACAAACAGTGCTACCATGAATAACCTTATGTATTTTTGTACTGTAGTAAGTATATCTTAAGGGTAAATTCCTGGAAGTAAGATTGCTGTGTAAACATAGTTTTGTTAACTGTCACCAAATTTATTCCATAAGGGTTGTGCCAATTTTATACTCAACAACAGTGAGAGTGTTTTCTCACAGCTTTGCTAACAGAATATACTGTTAAACTTTTTTTTACTTTTTACCAATCTGAGAGTTGAGAAGTTTAAAATCAGATTTTTGGTCTTTATTTAATTTTTTTTTTGCCTAAATTTTTATGAGTTATTTATATATTGAGGATATTGGCCCTTTATCTGTAATATATGTAAACCTTTTCTCCTAGTATTGTTGATCATCTTTTAACTTTGTTTGTGGTGTTGTTTGCCCTGCAAAAGGATTTTTTTTTCTGTAGTCATTGTTATTAATCTCTGCTTACACCTAGATTTCTAATCATAGCCTTCATTTTCATTCAGATTAAAGAGAAAGTCATCCCTTTTTTTTCTAGTCCCCGTGTGATTTCATTTTGACATACAGATTTCTCATCCATGTATGGTTTATTCTTGTTCTTAAATTTTTAACTGCTGTCCTGGGACACCTGGGTGGCTCAGTTGATTTCAACTCAGGTCATGATCTCAGGTTCGTGAGATTGAGCCCTGTGTGGGGCTCCACACTTAGCACCAAATCTGCTTGTCCCTCTCCCTCTGCTCCTTCCCCCTCCCACTCTCTCTCTCTCAAATAAATAAATAAATGAATACAATCTTTAAACTGCTGTCCTAAGCAGTAGCAGCTTTCTGCCCATTTTCTTTTCGTGTTATATATATTTAGCCAATAAATGTTTTTCATTTTAGTTAATATAGTTTTCTATTTTTCTAGGAAAATTTTGAATGACTTATCTTCAGATGCACCAGGAGTGCCAAGGATTGAAGAAGAGAAGTCTGAAGAGGAGACTTCAGCACCTGCCATCACCACTGTAACGGTGCCAACTCCGATTTACCAAACTAGCAGCGGACAGTATAGTGAGTAAAAGATATTTCTGCTTTGGAAAGTGAGATGAAAAACTAATGGCTGCATTCTCCTTAAAGGAATCCTAAAGTGGCAACCCTTTTCTCAGTCTTGGATGCCATTATTATATTTCCTTTACTGTTCAGTATGCAAAGTTCTGTAACAGAAGTATTTTCTTTTTCTTCAGGGTTTTTCTTAGGATTGCTCAAGCATGTTAGCCTTTCAGGTGGTCCTTTGTTTTGTGCAGTTGCCAGGAGAGTGTTGGAAGTTTTTTGAACCACTGCTTGAAACTCTAGATTTTAGTCCTTGTGTAATATATGATGTTAATAAAGGAAATACTTTTTCAGATAAGATAACCATTTTTTTATTATGTTTAAAGACAAAAATGGTCTCACTATTCATCTATTAATTCATCTTCCCTTCTAAAAGTAGCATTTTAAAATCATATTTAATGTTTTGTGGTGGGGGTTGAGAGGCTTGGTTACAGTCTACTAGCACATTCAATTATTCTTTTTAATATAAAAGGTAACATAGTGAATTTTGGTAACATAAACATAAGGACTGCTGAAATTGGCTCACAGAAAGCAAAGATTCTTTGTGCAAAATTATCAAAGTTTCCAGTTCTGTCATGTTTCTGTCTGACACTTAGGTCTCTCTTATCTTTCACCCAAATCTGTTAACAAAGTCTTTCCAGTTCTGCTTGATCAGAGGCATTTGTGTGAATGGTATGTTTTTCTATCTGTTCCCAATTCCTTTTGACTCCCAGAGTGCCTCTTACATAGATTTCTTCATTTTGATTTGCTCATTAAATCCAGTACTTCCCATTATGTAGTTTTCCCCCTTTCCTCCTTATTACAAATTAAATGTACACATTGACACTCCCTTGTTGCATTAATTTTCTAATACCTTGGGGTGGTCTGTGTCAGGAATGTGTATAAAAGTTTGACTCCCAAGTCAATAGTTTCCACAGTACAGCTCAACCTTGGTTTACATAACTAATTTGCATTCTAACTGTATTAAAAACAGATTCCCAAGTACCAGACTTCTTAGCTCTCCCAAAGTTGAAACTTTTGAAAGTGAGCAGAAGGACAGCATTTTTGACTAAGTTTCTTGTCCACTCTGTGCTTCCTAGAGTTCAGTCCCCTTTTTCCTTCTTGAGTTCTTTGTTGACAGAGATAAACAGGTACTATCTATGGACATGGATGTGTGTATTTTTAGCCTTATATCCAAATAATTGGAATTATTCCAGATGTGTGCATGCTAAGACATTGATACATGAACATTACTTTTCCCTTGCCACAACAGAATCCTAAGGGATACAGCCTACTCCTGTTAGTGACGTTGATTCACTTATTGCAGGGATTCTCACTTGCAGAAGAAAGCATGCTCTTTTGGGAATAGGCATATCAGAATGTCAAATAGGGAAATGAAATTTAGAAATGTGTATGTTTAATTTGACACACCACTCTCTTCCAGCAACTGAAAATTGCTAGTTTTAAAAGGTTAATACTTTCATATTTTTAAAGCTTTATTACATTATCTTTATCCCTTATTTACACATAGAGCCTTGACGGAATTGATGTAACATGTTCTTGATTGTCATTAAGAATCAATAAAATGACTACTTAAATATATACAGCATTATATATTTCTTAACTCATAATCCTTTTCATCTCTCCCCAGTAGTTAAAAGTTTGGTATATGTCTATCCATTCTTTTTCATTTTGTTTAAACATAAATATATTACCATGTATTTTGATACAAGTGAGACCTACATTATTAGTATACCATAGACAAATGTATACATACAGATATATATATTATTTCTTTAACAGCTATATTGTATTTCACTATATAACTTTTATTTAAACATTCCCTCCCCCTTAAATATTCCCTCCCCGCCCACACACACACTGATGAACATTTAAGACATTTCTACTGTTTCAAACACTGTGACATGAACATTCTTATATATGTAGTAGGGTCTCAGTGGGATAGCATCCAAAGAGTGGAATTGTTCAATCAAAGCACATCCTGCCCAACTTCCTTTCCCAATGTCTGCACCAATTTGTATTCCTTCCGTAAGTTGGTTATTTTTTTAAATTTCAAATTTTAAATGCTGTTAGTAGTTTATCCATTACTTGGTTCACTGTTCCTGATAAAGTCTTATTTGAGAAATTCTGTTCTAAGGTAGAAACAATGTGTCTATCATTTTAAACTTGAATTTTTTGTTTCACTAAATACAGCTGTAACCCATGATGTTTTCCTCTTTACTTTTCGCTACTCAGAATCTCAGATAAGTTTAACTGTATTCTCTTCTTCCTCTAGATTTTCTGGTAAAACCTCTGTGGTAGAGACCCATCAGTTACTTGACTTCTAGCTTCCTCTTCTTGTTTTAATGAATTTAGTTTTATTGAAAGCCATCTCAAATCCTTCTGGAATAATCAAGTATATAAATATATATTGTAGAGAAAAATACATCTGAAAGGATTGGACTTCCATTTTCAGAATACTTATACATGATTTCTTTTGATTTTTATAGTTGTACTTAGTGGCTAGAACCAGGTATTTTTATTTTTATAGAAGAGATAACAAATTCAAATAACAGTTTAGTGGTAGAATCTGGACTAGAACCCAGGTCTCCTGATACCTAGTTTCCTACTTCTTTTCTCCCACCTTGAGTTTATTGGATATAGCCAAGAATAAAGCTGTGTATGTTAAATGCAATGGAATTTGCTTATTAACTCTATATGAGAAATTGTGGTTTAATTCTGTTAATCTTCTGATTCCTTCAAGTTACCTGCAATATTAATCTCAGAATAGTTCTTATATATTCCTTTTTAATTGTCTAAAATAAGTAAAACTTAACGGAAATGGCTAAAGTGAATGGATTGTATATGCCAGTATCTTAATTTCCATAGGTGTCATTTGCTAAACCAAATCATACTTATTTACTGTTACTATTTCTTGATCGAACAGTAGATAATCAATTTTCCTTGTTTAGATGACTCAGGATATTAGTTGCCTAGAGCTGGCTAACAAATGATCTCAAATAATTCCCTTCTAACAGACAAAAAAAAGTAACATGCGTAAATCACACGTTTGTTGACTTATTAAGTTAAAATCCATTATGCATTTTTATATGTAATATTGTGATTTTTAGTCCTCTTTCCAGAAAACTTTAAGAGGGAGAGTGTCTATAGAGGATCCAGCCACCTATCTTGATGCTAGTATCTGAAGGATTGCTTTGTTCAAATAAAATAATAACCTACTTCTTTCTATTAACTTTTTCCATGCACGGTAGCATGAAGGTGAATTCAGTTTTTAATAAAGTGAAATATCTTTTAGTATGAACCAAAGTTGATTACTTCATAACAGATGAATGACAGTATGGTTAATTAGTGAATAATCAAAGGATCCTGTGTGAGAATGCATGGATATGTAACTTAGAGTTTATGCATTGTTAGCTGAGTTTTAGAGAACAGAATGCACTACTGAACCGGTTTTATTAATTATTCATTAAAACAACCATTTATTGGGTGCCTGTTACTGCGCATTTCTGTGCTAAGTACATGAAAGTGGAGAAGAAAAATCACATTTCCTACCTTCAAGAAATTTATTTGCTAGTGGAACAGCGAATATTAAAATATTGCATAATGGTAGAATAAAGGAAGTATGGATCACAAAGTGGTACCTCTTCTGAACCAAACAACTTTGAAAGGAATTTAACATCTTCTCATTTATTCTTTTAAAAAATTGTTAATGGATATTATTATAAATTATAATATGGTTCATAGAGTGCATTTGTATTATAGCCATTGGATGTGGGTTTCCTGAGCAGAAAGGTACTTGAGTATACCAAATCTTTCTTGGCAGTATTATTTGCTATAATAATTTCTCCTAGATTATGTCTTACACATTATTCTACTTTGAGTTTAGTGTGTTTGTAAAAGTCTTATATGGTATTAATTAAACTGATAACAATAAAATCCATTGGGTTTTAGTTGCCATTACCCAGGGAGGAGCAATACAACTGGCTAACAATGGTACCGATGGGGTACAGGGCCTGCAAACATTAACCATGACCAATGCAGCTGCCACTCAGCCGGGTACTACCATCCTACAGTATGCACAGACCACTGATGGACAGCAGATCTTAGTGCCCAGCAACCAAGTCGTTGTTCAAGGTAAGAGAATTCAGAATTCACAAGTGTGGTAAATTCTTTGAAAGGTTAAAATTTTATAAACTCAGAAAAGTAAGTATGATACTGTAAAACACTATGAAAATGTAGTTAATTTTTTTCATTATAGATAATGTTCTCCATGAACTCTTCCATTATTCCAGTTGGACCCAAATGTCATGGCATAAAAACAACTGTTTTCAGTTTTAAAAATATAACATCTTTAACACTTCTAGCATTTGGGGATAGGAGAAACAGGGTAGGTTACAGGGCAAGACAGTGAAATCAGGAGTTAGGAAAGCTAGATTTTAGATCTAACTGCATAGATTTGCTATGTGATCTTGAGTAAGACTCACCTCTCTGGCCCTCATTTATTATTATTTTTTTTAATGTGTCAAATAAAGAGTTATACTAAATCACTGGTGAGAATCTCTGGAGGTTCTGGGCGCCTGGCTGGCTCAGTTGGTAGAGCATGTGACTCTTGATCTTGTGGTTGTGAGTTCAAGCCTCATGTTGGGTGTAGAGCCTACTTTAAAAAAAAAAAAAAAAATCTTTGAAGTTTCAAAATTCCGTTTCTCTGCTTTTTATTCAAAAGAAATTTACATCCTTATTTCTAAGATCATCATTTTTTATTTCAAATGAAAACAATATGTTCTGAAAATTCTTATTACCAGTATGCAGGTCTACTGGTCTATAGAGGAAAAAGTAGTAGTTAAATCCTCGATGAACTATAGAAATAGCTTTTTTTCTGTATTGTTTTATTTTTATTTTCTTGCTTTAGGAATCTCTATGGATAGGAGTTGACCATTTTTCTTTGAATCCATTTTAATATTTTAAGAACATGATTTGTGCCAGATTGAAATTTGCATGTTGAGGAAATAATGTTAAAATCTGTATCTAAAAATATTTTTATTAATAATAATATATTTTGTCTCTGTTAAATAATAACCATTGTTACCCCTTCACCATGGATGATAATTTTTGAATAATCCTAAAACACCAACTAGAGAGTCATTTGTTTTTAAAGGCCCTAAATGTATTTACAGAACATATTCTGTTACTAAACAAATAATATTTGAAGAAGATAATATTTTGCTTATTAATGGGAGTAAAACACCTTTTCACTTTACATGCAGGTACTCAAAAATTGTAAAGCAGGATGTCAGTGAATTTGAATTCTGAACGTCAGTTTGAAGATGGTAACATGTTTAGTATATAAATCTTTTCCACTCAAACTACACATTTTAATTGATATTAATAACAAATATGGATAATTTTATAAAGATCTTCAAATTCTCTCAGATAATGTTAGGTTCTTTATTCTTAGGAGGGCATATTACTAAGCTGTTTTTAGAAGCAGTTTGACAGATAATGATTGTGTTTCTTTTTACAAGTGCTAGATCACTTAGAAAAATAAACTTCAATTTATTTAGCAAATAGCATTTACATTAAAACAAGTAATATAATTGGCATCAAGTGGTACACTTTTCATACTTTCAGTTTTGTTTCAATTAGAAATTTATAATAGTTGACCATAATGCTTTATTTTCTCTCCCATTTCGCTATTTTATGAAAAATCATGGTCGTTTTTATGTCGTGGCAAGAGTCTACTTGAAATTTTTTAATATGAATTTACCAATATCAAAGGAAGACATTGAGGAGTATACTCTATCTAGGAAGATCATCCAAGCTGTGCCCTACTTATCTTTTAGACTTAAGGTTGGTAAGCATGTTAACAACAGAATAGAACTGCATTCCAATGAAAGATAAATACAAGACCCGGCAGACATAGGTTAAGGCCTCTTTCCCCCAAGTGTCTATACTAATAAATATATTAAATTGGGAATTATTTGTCAGTAATGACCCAAAAAGTGCTGATTTTTTTTAGTGTTCTAGTTAGAATCATGTTCCTTTTTTTCCCTTCCAGTCCAAAATGTATGTTTAAATTGATGATTGACACACGTAGTTTTACCGAGTCACAGTGCTTCAGTGTCTTACGCCCTGTTCCCTGTTTTTCTTTTCAGCTGCCTCTGGAGATGTACAGACATACCAGATTCGCACAGCACCCACTAGCACCATTGCCCCTGGAGTTGTTATGGCATCCTCCCCAGCACTTCCTACACAACCTGCTGAAGAAGCAGCCCGAAAGAGAGAGGTTCGCCTAATGAAGAACAGGTACATACGTTGCATTTACTTAGATTGTGGTAGGTCAGGTCATCTTCAGATTCTGTCAGACATGTGTCTTTTACATCTTCTGATAATATGATCTTTGCAATGAATTTTTTTCTGGTGGAATTGATGGATCTTGCTAAAAAAACTTTAATAAGCTGCACTTATGAAATGGCTAATGGGATTGTGGGTCAAATCTTTATTTTTTTTAAGATTTTATTTATTTGAGAGAGCACAAGCAGAGGGAGCAGAGAGGGAGAATTAGGCCCCCCACTGAGCAGGGAGCTCAATGCGGGGCTCAGTCCCGGGACTCTGAGATCATGACCTGAGCCCAAGGCAGCTGCTTAACCGATTGAACCCCCCAGGTGCCCCATGGGTCAATCTTTAATCATAGTTTTCTTTTGTGTAATTTATCCATGGAAGATATAATACACAACTCTGCTGTATTTTCACTATGCTCTTAACCAACAAGCTAGGTTATTTAAATATTGTTTCTTTTCATGAATAGTATTGTTCAAGAAGATCAAGAGTTTCAAGTATGTATATTAAAATTAAATGTTTCATTTATATTAAGTTTATTTAAAATAAAGTAGATGTATAATGGCCAGTCCATGTTTTAATGAATATCATCTTTACTCAAAATTGACAATTTAACACCTAAAGATTCTTCAAAAACAGATTAAATCTAAGGATACCTTGTTCTTAGACAAAATCTTAAAATAGAGTTAGTCTTCAACAATGAAAGTGCAACACAACAAAATCTATGAAATGTGGGCAAAGTAATTCTCATAAGGTAAATTCACAGCTGTAAATGGTTTTGTCATCCAAAACCAGTAAGGGGCGCCTGGGTGGCTGAGTTGGTTTAAGCATCCAACTCTTGATCTTGGCTCAGGTCATGATCTCAGCGTTGTGAGATGGAGCCCAACATTGGGTTCCTCACTGGGTATGGAGCCTGCTTAAGATTTTCTCTCTTGGGGCGCCTGGGTGGCTCAGTCGTTAACCATCTGCCTTCGGCTCAGGTCATGATCCCAGGGTCCTGGGATCGAGCCCCGCATCGGGCTCCCTGCTTGGCAGGAAGCCTGCTTCTCCCTCTCCCACTCCCCCTGCTTGTGTTCCCGCTCTCGCTATCTCTTTCTCTGTCAAATAAATAAATAAAATCTTTAAAAAAAAAAAAAAAGATTTTCTCTCTCTCTATCTATCTCTTCCTCTCCCTTTGCCCCCCCCAAAAGCCAATAAAATGTTTTTATTGTATTTACTACTTTAGTATTTTTATTTAGTTTAGGATTTAAATATTTAGCTTAGGACTTAATATAGAATGACTTAAGACAAACCATAGAAAATGAAAATAAAGCTATATTAAAGATAAAATTTGAAATTGCTGAAAATATTCCTGTATTCTTGACCCCAAAATTTTTCAAACACTGTGATAAAGTAAAAGAAATAGGGATTGAATTTAGACAGTCTGGATTCAAGTCCTGGATCTACTCTTTTTGCTGTGACTTTGGAAGAATATACTAACCCTCAAACCTCCATTTTCTTTGTAAAACGAGATTCTGCCACCCATCCAAACGGCTGTTCTGTGGGACAAATATTCCTCTCAAAGCACTTTATCTATAATGCTCTATCAAAATGTTTGTTTTTATGAAGTTTCATGTTTCCACTCAGCTCAACAACCTCTTTTGTCCCTGAAATACTCCTAGCTGTTATAGAGTGTCAGTAAATGACATCTAAGCTATGGGAAATGGCAGGACTTTTTCTGGGATATTAGGGAAAGAGTTGGAAATAAGCCGAGTGGCTTATTTTATTTGTGCTCCATCAGTCTGAGATTTTCCTTAGGTGTTATAATAATAAACAGAAGCATCAAAAGCCGCATTCATTTAAATGTATTTTAAATACAAAATTTATTTTATAATTTAGATCTTTTAGCTTCAGAATGTTTGTAAAGAAATGTTTAACCCTTTCTAAAATTAGAAGCAAGTCTGATTAAGAAGTCTTAAGTAAAGGCCAGGTTTTAAAACTTAAGACAGTAGCACTTACTAAAGAAACCAGTTCTAAGCAAGACACAGCAGAGCAATCAGATGGAAAATAAACTTTCTTGATTATAAAAACAGTAGAAGGACTTCATGTTGTGTCCATGTAGTTGGCTCTGTGGGACAGAAACGTTCCCCCCCCCCTTTTTTTTTAAGATTTATCCATTTCAGAGAGTGCGAGTGGGGGGAAGGGCAGAGGGAGAGGATCTTCAAGCAGACTTCCCCAGTGAGCACGGAGCACGACTCAGGGCTTGATCCCATGACCCATGAGATCATGACCTGAGCCGAAACCGAGTGGGTCACTCAGCCGACTGAGCCACCCAGGCGCTCCAGAGACGTTTCCCCTTATACAGAAAAGACTAATTAGTGGGTGGGCGAGGAGGCAGCACCATGGCTTCTTGTCTGCTCTGTTGTATGGAGCAGAGAGCTGCCCATTTATGAACACTTGTTCATTTGACTAGCAGACCAAATTTCTTTTTTTCATTATTTTTTTAGTTTATGTATCTTCCCCCCCGCCCCAACCAAGTTAGGGACATAGCTACAGTTCCTAACAACCTTTGCTAGTCTGAAATCTTCAGGGAAGCTACCTGATTTAGCATGGACTCTTTAATAAAAATACTTTTGCTTGGATTTAGTTTCATTAAGGAAACTTCCCATTGACTCTGCTATAGTTCCCTTTTCCTTTTATTCCCACATTATTGCTGCTTCTACTTTTCCAATTTCCATTCATTAAAATCTGGCTTCTGTGCTCACCATAGCACTCTTACATCTTTAAAAGATACAGAGTCCCTCCCACTTGGCAATCTGGTATTCTCTTTTCATTTCACTGTACTTTTGTGAAATATTTGACACTTTTGACTTCTCATTCTCCTAAACTCTTCTTTGGTTTATTCACCCAGTTTTCTCACTACTTTTTGAAGTTTTCCCTTGGAACGTTCATTCATACCCGTGTATTTCAGGCATCAACTATAAGCTGATACCTTCTAATTCTATATTCTGGCTTTGACCTTTCTCCTGAGATACTATTTATTAAGGACTAGTTTATGCTAGACATTGCACGTAGTTTCTTTACATACTTTATATTGCCTACAATGAGGTAGAAGCTTATCTCCACTTTACAGAGGAGCTATAGTTCAGAAAGAAGTCAGATATCTTGCCAAAGATCACACCTTTAAAGAAATTGGTACAGGGGTGCCTGGCTGGCTCAGTCAGTAGAGCATGTGACTCTTGATCTTGGGGTTGTGAGTTCAAGCCCCACATTGTGGAGATTGCGTAAAAATAAAATCTTTTAAATTTTTTTTTAAATTGGTAGCGCTGAGATTTGAGCCTGTATCTGGCGCCAAAGCCCTATGGACATGTTAATTCTGAGATTTCAGTATGCATCTCTCTCCTGCTGTGCTTCTTAAACCAGAGCACATGACAGTGTGCTGGAGATAAGGTAGCCCCAAGAGGTAAACATGGAATACTTTCCTCGAATGTTTATCTTGCTCAAAAATTAGGGAGAAATAAATATTTTTAAGGTAAGAGATTTAAAAGAAATTCACACCAGCAGTGATTGCTTTGGGCTGTGTCCCCAGAGTCCCCATTTTGGTTTCCTCTGCCATTAGGGGTACACTTCAGTGGAAAAGATAGGAGAGCACTCTGCTCCTGAACATACTCACTAGGATGAATGTCCCTTATATGTACCTGAAACACAGCCTGTCTTGAACTTTGATGAAAAAGTTACGATCCCCAAATTCTACACTGTCCAAATTACCATTTACTCAGAAATGAAGAGAAGTGATAAGTGGTCTAAAAGAAAGAATAGATGGTTGTTATATTAATTTTTGTTGCTGCAGTAACAACAACAGAAACCCCAAAATCTCAGTGTTTTAGAACAACAGGATTGCTTTCTCACGTTACATTGGACAGCTGCAAGCCAGCTGCCGTGCCTCTCCCACAAGCTCCAGCTAGAGGAGGAGCACCTTTTTTGAGGCATGTCATTTTTGTAGCAAAGGAAAAAAGTCAGTGTTTTTTAAATCCTCTGCTTGATGGTGATGAACATCATGTCCACTTGCGTACCATTGGCCAAAATACAGGCAAGGACAAGCTCAGTGTCAGTGGAGTGGGAATGTATGCTCTTCCCACAGGGAGGAAGGAATAAAAAATTATGAAAGTAATGCAATCCACCATCCTTGTCTTACAATTTTAGAATGCAGGAGAATTTTAATAGATTTCCTAAAGGCAAAAGTAATAAACGTAAAGGTTAGGTAGGTTTGACTGTATGAAAATATAAAACCTCTGTTTAGCCAAGAAAAAGATAAAGTAGCAAAACAAACAACAAACTAGAAACATTTAACAAGTCAGAAGACTAATGAGTTAAGGATATGAATAGGTAGATTCATAGGAACTTGGCTTCCCATTAAGTATAGTTTATTTACATGTTTGTTTAACTCTAGTATACATTTAAAATAGTTACAGAGTTGCTAACTTGTATACCTGTGAGAAACAAATTTACCAAATACAATACAGTATTTATGTACAGTTCTTTTTGTTGTTAGCCTTAAAGTACCAGTGAAAGCACTGTTTTCAAAGCTATTTAGGTCTGTTCTTTTTTCTCCACCCTCTTCAGTAAGATTATATCACACGTTTGTAGTATGGTTAGATTCGTCACCATCTTCATTCAGTTCTGGGATTGCATGTACTTTTTATGCTGTATAGTTCTTTTAGTTTTGACAGATGTATGGTGCCATGTTTCTACCCGCACAGTGCCTTACAAAAACAGTTACACCACCCTAGAACGAATCTCTTTGATACCCATGGGTAGTCTGCTTCTGCCCCCTTTCCCAGACTCGAAGCTGCTGAACTGTTTTCTATCCTTTGGATTTTGCCTTTTCCAGAATCTCATATAATTGAAATCACACACTGTATGTAGCCTTTAGGATCTGGCTTCTTTCACTTAGCAAAATGCATTCTAGATTTATTGATAGTGTTACT